TTTCTAAGAACTATCAAAATGCGAAGTTCAATTCCCTGTTCAACCTTTCCCTTCGAGTTGCGAAATAAAATAGTGGACAAGTTACCCCCTCAGGAGAGTCTCAAACTCTTAAAAACCAATGGTTCTCTTCGCAAGCTCGTCCTACATAACGGCCCATTTGGGACATGGGTTGATTCCATGGATTTTGAAGAATGGAACCTCGATGATGCCCCTGATGATGCTCCCAGTGATGATGGGCTCAGTGATGATGATACCCCTGATGTTGAGCTCAGTGATGACCGCCACCCAATAATTTTTCATGTTACTATCGAGAAAAACGGATATCAATACCAATTTGACATCTTACAACGTTCCTATATTCCTACCTCAATTATACAAAAGATCAAAGCGTGCAGATTTTTGAAGTTGAACCGTGAAACCCGAGCAATCGACCAACCTTTTGCTCTTGAATATTTGTTGGAATCTTGCCACAGAGTTTTACCCCTGGAAAACCTTGTTTTTGTAAAGTTCCTTACAATCAATCAGTTATCCCCGACATTTTTGAATGCGATCATGCCAAGTTTTCGCTTTAAAGTGGCGAAGCGTGCGATGATCGATGCTTTTCCACCTTTTAACACGGAAAATACTAACAATCTCGTGCATTTCATCACAAATAACCTGAGATTTTGCTTGGAGATTTGGATTGAAGAGTTATTCGATGATTTGTTAAACGCTTTGAAGAGAACACGGGTAGAGAGAATAATCCTCTACCTTGGTTTCGAAGAAACCCACGGTGATAACGAACGACATACCCGAGTTTTAAGCAATTTCCTGACCTGGATCGAGAGAAACGGATTGCCAAGTGTAAACCAGGATTGTTCACTTATCATCAAGATTCCAGTGATGAATCCAGCAATAATCGATCCGTTTTCAGACCATCCTCTATTGAAATATGAGCCATCTTCCAAGTCTATCACAAAAATGTTTTTGGAAATGAGGGAAGCGGAGAGGGAAAGCCTTTACAGCCTTTCCAGCCTCTCCAATCGGGCGATTCGATTTGCTACGGTGCCTCCAGAAGCGGGATTGCAAAAATAATTTGAGATTCTTGATGATGAGAAGAAAAAATCAATCTATCCGCCACGAGCCGGGCGGCTCGAGCGTGATGTTTTTCTTTGTTAAACGCTTGAAGTAAGGTTTAAATTTATTCAATTTTAAAAGCAGTTACAATTACCTTGATTTAGCTTTGATCTTATTCTATTCACTAAAATCAATTAGTTTCAGAAGCGTCGACCCGACACGTCGACTCGAGGAGAATTGCAAAGATGTGGTGTCATTGGATGATTCCCCCGCGGCTCCTAGACAGGTACGATTTGAGTTGAGACTACCTGGTATTATAGCTATGGAACTGAAACAAATCATTTCTTTAGAAATCTGTCCGCCCCGCCGCTTCGACTTCCAAGAAGCGCAACGCCGCCGACAAGGACGCAGAAAAGGAAGAAGTGATGCCAAAAAAGAAGAGGCGTGATACCGACTCCGATTCGGATTAAAATAGAGATTCCTTGAAACCTTTTTACGATTGTCATTCATTGCTTGTACAAGATTCCTTGATTTGCCATCCTAATCATGCCATGCTTTCTTAGTTTCTATGTGTCTAAGGCTTTGACATCTGGTTCTTAACAACCTCCAACAATCTTCTAAGACATCATTGCTCTTACAATTTCACCGCTTGTTTTAGCGTTATTCAGGCAAGATGGAATAAAGGCTTCTATTTTAAAATTCTTGCATTTCTTAAACATTCGCTCAATTAGTCAATTAAACATCAATTCGTTTCAGAAGCTCAAAATCATGAACTTTAGAGTTCATGGCTTTCCAAAAAACCAACGAAAACCTCTCAGCCACTCGTCGTTTTCGTTAATCCCATAACCGGCGGGAATAAGGAATCAAAGGTTTGATTTCAGCCTACAGTACATTGCAATACCCTGGGCAAACTGTTGATAGCTTAAATTCTTTCAGGCTAGAGGTGTATCGAAAGGTGGCCACCCAGCTGCTTTCTTGTGGCGGAGTTTGGTTGGTGAATCGATTCGAGATCTTCATTTCATTTAGTCTTTCAATTGAAACTTCGGGTTTTATTAGTCTAAACTTTTAGAAAAATTCATTCAAGGCGATCTTGGGAAGAAATCGCCCAGTGCTGCATAGTTTTGCTCAGCGGTGAAGTCATCTTTGTGAGCGGTGTCGTTTGTTAGCTGAAAAGTCATTTAGTAAGCTAAATAGTAGCATACATCTTTTATTTTCTTCCAATTTACCATCTACAATCTATAATCTACAATCTACAATCTACAATCTACAATCTATAATCTACAATCTATATCTACAATCTACAATCTACAATCTACAATCTACAATCTATAATCTACAATCTATAGTCTACAATAGAGTGTTTTCCTTTTTGTATTCAACATCCGAATCAACCTGTGTATTGTAGGAGAAACCGACGCCAATCGGTTCCTCAAGAAAAAGCACGTTCGCAAACTGAAATGCTGAAATGACCGAAAAACTTTCTCTAGAATTGTTTAGAATGTTTAGATTCAGTTTTAAGCATACAAGTTTCGCATATAAAACCTTTTCCCAAGCGTAAACATTCTCATAAAGCGACTCTCCATCACGATTCACGTAAAATGGACCCAACTCTTCAAAAGCTCCGGCAAAAGACGAACAACCAGGCCCTGAAATCATATAATTTATGTGAAAATGTAAACGAACAGCTTCTTTAGCTCGATTAGTTACCCAACTCTTTATAGTAAAGCCTCAAAGCAAAACCCCCGGATGCTTTTTTAGCAACAATAAACAAACAACAACAAGAACAATTGTGTAAAGATGTAAACACAAAGCTTCTAATGCACGCAGTTATTATTTCATTTCATTTGATTCATTTACCCAATTTTTCTTATTTAAATACTCTTATTAAATACTCTTAAAACCCAAGTATTAAAGGGAAAAATTGAGCGTACTTTATACTTACCGTAAATACTGTAATACTGTAATACTGTAATACTGTAATAGTACCCTACCCCCATGATAACGGTGCGGAGTGTTGCGTAGTCGAGCTTTGAACGAGTTTTTCTCGACACTGGTTTATGCTACAATGGTTTATGCTTAGGTATCAAAAAACAGCTGAGATTCAGGGCTATTTTTTGATACTGAAGACGCATTTGTTGGAAAGTAGGGGTGCTTTGAAAAAAATGGAATACTAAAAATCTTTGGTAACTTTTGCGACTACGCGACTGTACGAGCCGGGTTGGGGTCACTATTCGGTCGGGGAGAATGAGTCGGCGCCGAAAATCAAAGAAATTTCTAAAACTTATAGTAGACTTTGTCAAATGATACGCGTTTGATATCCGTAGAAGGGTAACTAATTTTCTACAAAATAATATTTAAAAGAGAACTCAAACAGCGCCTCAACTCAACAAAGAATCATTTTTTCACAAAATCGATAAACTGTCATCTAGACTAAACGGTTGGAGGGATCTTTCTGGAAATTTGGTAACTTTTGTAATTGAGTGTGCTCTATTTTTTTATATAAAAACCAAAGGAGGTTTATGTGGAAGAAACTGTTCAAATGATGAGTCGGACTCTTTGCCATTTTAACCAGCTGCGTTTCGAAGTTCATCAACGTCACGAAAGAAAAGCTTCTAAAATGTCGTCGTCGCTAATGTGATAACTAAAGTAGAGATAATGAAGTGTCAAAGATCCCGTACCTTGTTCCTGTTCTTAAACTTTCAATAGGATAGCATCATTGAATTAGCTAGAAGGTAAATTTCAACTGAACAACTGAATTAATAGCTGAACAGCTGAACAGCTGAACAACTGAATTAACAGCTGAACAATTGAATTAACAGCTGAACAGTTTCAGTTCAAAGTTAGGGATTCAAAATTGCTCAGAAACTCTGTAAACGTTTACTTTCTGATGCAGTTGTTTTCTTGTTTTCTTGAAACAATGCGGAAATGGTGAGGTTTTTCTCTGAAGTCACACTGAAGAACGAACAACTTTGAAAGATTGAGTTCTGTTTGGGGTTCTTGCAGACACATTGGGGGATCGCTGTCGGCCATCGATCATCGTTCGCACCCCAACCGGCCACCCGGCAAGAGTAGTCATTCGTTATCTGAAATTCGATCTAAAGTGCACTTGGTGCTCGAATTGAATCGGCTGGTGGGTGGATCGAATTATAATATTATTTATAATATTATAATATTATTCACTGAACTAACTGAGCATTCTGAAAGACCCAGCTAACGTTCATTTGACGCTATTCATTTCACTCTCTTTCATTCATTTCACTCTGATTTAACAAAAATTCAATATCAATCTTTCAAAGTTGTTCGTTCTTCAGTGTGACTTCAGAGAAAAACCTCACCATTTCCGCATTGTTTCAAGAAAACAAGAAAACAACTGCATCAGAAAGTAAACGTTTACAGAGTTTCTGAGCAATTTTGAATCCCTAACTTTGAACTGAAACTGTTCAGCTGTTAATTCAATTGTTCAGCTGTTAATTCAGTTGTTCAGCTGTTCAGCTGTTCAGCTATTAATTCAGTTGTTCAGTTGAAATTTACCTTCTAGCTAATTCAATGATGCTATCCTATTGAAAGTTTAAGAACAGGAACAAGGTACGGGATCTTTGACACTTCATTATCTCTACTTTAGTTATCACATTAGCGACGACGACATTTTAGAAGCTTTTCTTTCGTGACGTTGATGAACTTCGAAACGCAGCTGGTTAAAATGGCAAAGAGTCCGACTCATCATTTGAACAGTTTCTTCCACATAAACCTCCTTTGGTTTTTATATAAAAAAATAGAGCACACTCAATTACAAAAGTTACCAAATTTCCAGAAAGATCCCTCCAACCGTTTAGTCTAGAGAAATTAGAAATTTTACCTGTTTACACAGGTAAAATTTTTTGCTAGTTTGTTAGCCTCTTTGAATTCAGGATATCAATTTGTTTGCCATGCCACCAGTTACTTCAATGCAAAAAACACAAAAATCGTTTGATTTCACCTCTCCTCCGCCATCGAATCCATCGAAACCACCAATGATGCAATTTGGTTCGAATACTACGCAAAGTTGGAGAGCTGCTGGAAGGGTGGGTTTATGGTTCAGTTATACACAAAATGCGTTCGTTTTAGTCGCTTGCTCTCCTTGATTATCCGACTTGGTTTGTTGTTTTTAGGATAGTTTTTTAATAAATTAATTTTAGTGCATTGGACCTGATGGACGAACCACTGCGTCCGTGTCTTTTAAAGAATTTCTTTACAGAGTGCGCGAACATAGTATGTTAACTTTAATCTGTCTATTTATGTTGGTATTTTTTTCAATATTAAGATGTCCCAATTGTATCTCTCTTTGTTTACCGTGCAAACCGCTGGTCCAGTCTAAACCGGATTTTTTAGAATTTGGTAGCCCGATCAACTTTGTTTCATGTTTTCAGGCTTTTTCTTGTGATTTCTTTACCTTCTTTATTTGGTCATTTTTGTCCGCTTTACTTTAGTGACTTTAGTGCAGATAACTGCTTTTGTTTATCTGTTACGTCCGAATGCGACAACAATGAGTGTGTAATAAAAAAAATCAGTAACATGTGCGTAGTAAAAAAAGGTTTTGTTTAAGTTGATTGTTGTGTCTTGATTTTAAGCTGATTGTTGATTGTTGTGTCTTGTTGTCTAGGGTCTTGACATTCCGATCTTTTCCTCGTTGAGTTGCAGAAGCATGTATGTTGTTTACGTATTCGAAAGGCAAGAAAGTGCTAATGCAGAGAGCTCGGTGAAGACGGCCGCAAAGAAATCGGCTAAAGAAGAACTAGCCAAAGGCAAGAAGAAGCCCACAGTTTGTTGCATTTTAAGTATATTTTCTACGGTGCTTCTAGTAGTATTATTAAACGGGTCTCAGCCCTTCAGCTCCGAGGAGCAACTTTGCACGGTTGGTACCATCTGCACTGTCGTCGGCTTTTTAAAAACATTATTAGTAACTGTCTAAGCAACAGAAAATCGAAAACAAAAAAATTGAGAAAGGAAACAAAATTATTTTATTGGTTGTCTTTTGCGTGCGAAACTTAATATTTTAATGCAGCATCGAACCATAGGGATTGAAAGGAAGACACACTCGAAAGAACCAGTTGCAATAAAACGACTGAGGACAGGATTTCACATGGCTAAATTTCAAATAAGTAAAGCAAAAATGTGCAATTAGTTTTCATATTTGTATTATTATTGTCTTGTGTTTTCTCAAAGATTAAAATTGCTTTCAGCTCGTAACCGCTTCAAAAATCGATTGCTACAGATTGCTCGATTCTTGATCCTGAACTGGCCCTCCTAAGCTTAGTTTCACTTTGCTGTAGTAACTTGAGGCTGCGGGCAAGCTAGTAAAGTAGTAGCCCGCGAGATGCTCTGCCTGAAGCTTAGCATTGCATTGAGTTTTAAGCAACGGCTTACCGACTCTCCACGATTTGCTAGATATTATAGTTTCAAGGAGTTGAAAACTTTGGTACTTTGTCAAATGATCCAATAATTTTGTGGAGGCTTTGGCTGGATATTCAGAAACATCTTTGTTCAAAAGTTAAACATTAAATTAAAAACTAAGGTCCTAAGAAAAATTTTTAAGATTCCTTAAAGAATTCATCAATCTGAATAAACACCGAGGAGCGAACTGTCACAACTTTGGATCAAATCAATCAAAACAATCACAACTTTGGATCAAATCCAATTGGATCCATTGGATCCATTGGATTGGATCCAAAGTTGTGATTGATCTGAACAATCGAAGCTACAGTTGGCTCCTCGGCGTTTCTTCACATTAACTCTTAGCAATACATTTCCTGAAATCTCAGAAAAACTACCTAGATCTCGCTGTTCTTTTCAAATTTATCCAAGTTAAGCCCCTCTTCCAGTACTCCGTGCTTCCTACTACAAGGTTTAACTGTTACGAATACTATTTCTGAAATTTTCTGAAATTAAAGAAAAACTACCGTAACCTCGCTGTCCCCTAGGCTCGCTTTGAGAATTCCGTGTCTTGTATTTCAAACATAGAAGTTTTGTTTTTTGCCTTGACGCTAATTCTTGGCTTAACGATGTCCAACTTGCCGTTGACGTTACTTGTCAATGGTTTCAAATTGACGATCGCAAAACTTCCAAACAAAACAAAACAAACAAAACCCCAATTCATCACCAAAAAACCCTTGTGAACTCAAAGTTTACAGCAGACCCCCAGAACACAATTTCATTTTACTGCCTTCAAAACACAAGACAAAGTACCAAAGTTTTCAACTCCTTAGAGAGTTTCAACTTCTTTTCTGAAGAGAAGAGATTTCAAAACCCGTGCCTATCAAAAAAAAGGCTAATAAAAAGACTTTATGATAGATAAGGCCATGACAATCGGGGCAAAAAATGGGTCGGAAACTGTCACAAAAAACATCGGCACGGGACGATCACTCAAAAACTTTATGAGCAAACAGATAAGGCATTCCTAAGTCGAGTTTTTGTAAAATATTATAAGCCGAAGTGTCCGATAAAGATAAGGCTTCTGGGTGGGCTGTTTTCAAAGTGGGCGTATGCCAAAGGTCGCTGGAGACACTGCAGTTTTTATTGGATCATTTGACTCCACAAAATTATTGGATCATTTGACAAAGTACCAAAGTTTTCAACTCCTTGAAACTATAATATCTAGCAAATCAAAACCCAAACCCTTTCTTTATTTTTTTGAGAATGAACCCTGATACAGCCAGCCAAAAAACTTCATTGAAGAAATTGATAAGGCTTGCTCTCCATTCACACTTAAAAACCAGTGCGAAACGACCACCCGAAAAGACTACTGGCTATGAGCCTGTCAAGACCAAAATACTTTAAAGATAATAAGATGAAATTGTTTATTTGGGTGGTGTTCGGTGAATTTCGGGTTAAAAGGGTGGATTTAGATGGCAATGAAAGGGTGATTAGATTGTCTAAAAAGTTTTTTTGGGGTAGACACGGGTTTTGAATTCATATCAAGTCTCTTTATAGGTTTTGCTTTAGGTTTACTCAAGTATTGAAAAAGGAAAAAGGAAAGACGAAAATTGGGTGAGCAAAATGGAACTGACTTCGACAATATGACAATAAAAGCATTAAATGTCTGAGTGAATTGAATTCGAAACTACAGTGTCTCCAGCGACCTTTGGCCTAGTTCATCATTGCAAAAAGCCCACCCAAAAGGCTTATCTTCAGCCGACTACGGCGCCTAAAATTTTCCCAAAAAATTCGATTCAAGAATGCCTTATCTGTTTGCTCATAAAGTTTTTGAGCGATCATCCCATACCGACGTTCTTGTCGACAGTTCCCGACTGATTGTTTGCCCCGATTTTCATGGCCTTATCTATCATAAGGTTTTTGGTGGTCTTTTATTAGGGCTTTTTTGGGGTAGACACGGGTTTTGAATTCATATCAAGTCTCTTTATAGGTTTTGCTTTAGGTTTACTCAAGTATTGAAAAAGGAAAAAGGAAAGACGAAAATGGGGTGAGCAAACTGGAACTGACTTCGACAATATGAGACAATTTTCGAGTAGGAGCTTGACCTGGTTTTTGAGTCCAGCCTCGGTTGAATTGATTGTGTTCTTAACTTGGCAGGGTCCGGAAATTGGGTCTTGCTCCAACTCTAGTTATCATAATACAGGGTATTCAATATTGATGGAGAATTTTACGTTTCAAGGTTGTTCAACGCTCCCAAGAAATTATTAAGATTTTATGCAGGGCGGAAGAAAACTTGGTGCGACTATGCATAAAAACCGGACAAAGTTTCCGATCTACACCCGTCGAATGAAGAAAAAGGGCTAATAGGAAATTTTTTGCGGGGTACGGTACCTCATCCACGCATCCACGCTTTAGCGCTTTCGTGATAGCCCCTTAAAAGGATCTATCCTAAAACCCGCCGACCAAAACAGCGCCGCCAAAACAGCGACGAGCAAGAAAATTATTTCCTAGATTTTTGCTTTTGCTTTTTCTTTGCTGTCTTTAACTTTTTCTGTCCACTTCTTCTGTTTTCAGGGTAAAAAAAGGCGGAGAATCCGATTTTTTTAAGCTTTACGCATAGAAACCTGCGATAGCGTTTATTAAAGTGATTTCGACCAAGAATAACAAATTTTTTTCCTTTTACGGCCTGGTTTTTAACGTTTTCACTAACTTTTTATTTTTGTATGTAACAAAGCAATCTGAAACTGCACGAGGCGTTGCTGCATACTCATCATCGTCCTCTTATCATCACGGACCAACCTGAAATTTTGAGGTATATTTTAGCCGCTTTATGGATGAATGACTTAATATTTGGTTCGCCTAGTCATTTAGCATTTTTATTTTGCGGGTAATCAGTCGTCCACAGTCAGCCAGACTTGCTTTCTTGAACCAATTTTCTAGGAAATCGGTTATTTTCTGAAAATTCGATACTAAAACACTTGATCTAACCAAATTTTCCCAGCTGGCCTCATTTCTTCACTTCCCAATCTCTACGATATTCTCCAATATGAGAATCGCTCCTGGAAATGGCCTGGGATTCCGATTCAAATCTTTCAATTGCTCCTCAAATTGGGCACAAACTTTTATGCGACTTTTACCGCATGGATTGTCATCATTTACATAAAAGAGGTGAGATTTCATAAAAGAAATGATAAGGATTAAATTTTCTGATTTTAGTATCGTCAACCGGTTCTCTAGAAGTTCTTTTCTTTATGTTATTGTGATCAACAAAAAACTGGGATGAGTAAGACGTCGAAACAAGCAACAACTCTTATCATTTCCAACTCTTATCATTGATGCTTTTAAATAAAACCCATTTATGATTGGTGATTGTGAGCAATTGTACAATACGAATACGTAAAATTCGGAACAATTTGATAGAAATGAATCTGGAAAATGAAACTGGAGGATCTCGGCTATGTAACTTAGAAAGAAGACCAGAATAGCACGATTTATGAGAACAAAGCCGAGGAAAACCAGGCTTGAGCTTTATCTAAAACAAAGTTATAAAATAGTCTAGTTAAGATAAAAAACTGCAACTCAAAAAACCCGTTTGTCAGTGTTCAACCTTCAGCTGATTACACCCCACCTCTTTCTCGAGAATTTCTCTCCTCCTCATTCTTGATTTTCTTTCCTCCCGTCAGTCTTTATTGGTTTCATTTTGTAAATTTTGAACAACGACGCAGCTATTCTTCAAGACCCGCTTACACGCTCGCATAGCTGTTTTATTTTCTAAATGTTTTTTAAAGATACATTCCATACATCTTTCAGTTCAAATTCCTGTGCTTAGCCCGCCTTTTTCCTTTTCAAACGCCCGCCACTCGCGCCGCGCTTGCGTTATTAATCAAATGCATCTTGGGGCGTCGCGTACTCTTTTCTCAAACGGTCTTGCCTCTTTCTGACAGAAAATTTCCGCCTTTTTTGACATTTTAGAAATCTTTCTGGTTTTTCTCTAAATTTAGTCCTCTTTAAATCTGTTTCCTTATACTTATTTCCAACCCAATAGATAGGTTGAATTTACCGGCCTTTTCCTTGTATATTTCAAATGGTTTCATGGTTTCAAGGCAGAGACTAGAGGTTCTTCATTTATTGTATCTCTAACATTTCTCTATTGTCAAATCTTGAAAGCACACACGACTGTCAGTTCTCGTCGGCCGGCGGTCGGAAAAGCGGAAAATATTTTAGTCTTTCTCTGCATGCCTATTGGTGTTTTCGAATCTCTTGCCGAGACCGATCCACCGTAGCGATGACAGAAGAGGTCGGGGGAGCCCGAGACGGGCACAGAGGGAGCCCCCGGAGGGACGCAGTTCGAGAGATGTGGCATTTCGAAAGAGGTTAGAGAAAAAAGGCAGACCATTGACTCTCTTCATTCGTTCTACTCTCTAGCTTTTCTCTAGCTTTTAGCACTTCTGGGTGGCGCGATCGATGGTCTTTTTGCTCTCTTTTCCACCTTTTTTATTCAATTTTTCTTTCACTGATTACACCCCACCTCTTTCTCGAAAATTTCTCTCCTATATATTTGCAAAAAAAAACACTTTTCGACGCTTTATTGCTCTTATAAACTTTTAGAGATGAGCTTTTTCGAAATTTGACTAAACTGTGCAAAATGTAGAATGCAGTTAATCTCCTTCCTCCTTCTTAATTAGAAGTTTTATATTAAAACTTTTTATAAAAATTATGTCTATAGTGATGTGAAATAAAGAAAAAAATCGAATGGATTAATGGATCGCGGAGAGAAGGGAGGGAAGAGAAAAGAGAGAAAGGAATGGGACAACATTGTGCTTGTTGTGTAGTGAGTTCGGGGTTTATCATTTTGTATCCAATAGCTATGGTAGCTTTTCGCGACGTAGACAAATTGTTATAAGTACAATAACTTCATAGGAGTACTGTAACTTCTGATGGGTACATAACTAACTATGTTAACTAATATGACAACCTTGTTCTTGTTTCTCTAGTTTTTGTCCTCAATCTTCTTTCTCTAGTTCATTTTCCACTTCTAAATCCCGCCAAGAGTCTGTGATTTGCGGGCTTTTCTTTTCCCTGATGGGCAGGGGCGTCGCGTGCTTTTCTCTCAATCGATCTTGTCTTTTTCCGACCAGAAAATTTCCGCATTTTCGTATCATCATTTTGAAATCTTTCTGGCTTCTAACTTAGATTGAGGAATAGAAGCAAAACAGTTTAAAGAAAATGCATTTATGATTGCTCCAGTTTGATCAGTATGGTAAATTATGCCAGATTAACTGCATTCTACATTTTGCACACTTTGGGATTACTCATAACGAATTGGTGCCGCTTTTTCAACCGTTTCTCCTTTTTGGCACTTTCCTCCCAGATTGCTTCTAAATAAAATCAGCTCAAAACACAAGTAAACCTAACCGCTAGTTTTTATCAGCTCCCTTTTTTGACTTGCATTCTGCTTTGAATCGAGCAAAAATTGAACAACTATTCTTCAAGACCCGCTTTCACGTTCGCATCGCTTCAACCCCTTTCCAACGTTTCACTTTCCTCTCTAGTTCTGTTCTCAATATTCTTTCTCTAGTTCTTGTTTTCATTTACGTTCGCATAGCTGCCCTATTTCTTAAATGTTTTTAAAATACAACGTTCATACACCTTTCACTTTAAAATCCCGCCAAAAGTCTGTGATATGCCGCCTTTTCACTTTTTCAAACCTCCGCCATTTGCGTCTGGCGTCTCTTCGCGTCTGGCGTCTCGGCGTCTCTTCTCTCGATTGGTCTTGCCTCTTTCTAACAAGAAAATTTCCGCATTTTTTGGACATTTTTGAAATCTTTGGTTTCTCTCATTGTATCTCTAACATTTCTTTATTGTCAGTTCTTCAAGGCACACACGAGTGTCAGTTCTCGTCGGCCGGCGGTCGAAAAAAGCGCGGTCGGGGCCAACAGCAATTTTTCTAAACAATCGTAGTTTATGAGGAGAGGCTAGGCCTTTTTTTTGCTTTTAGTCTTTCTCTGCATGCCTATTGGTGTTTTCGAGTTCGAGTTCGAGAGATGTGGCATTTCGAAAGAGGTTAGAGAAAAAAGGCAGACCATTGACTCTCTTCATTCGTTCTACTCTCTAGCTTTTCTCTAGCTTTTAGCACTTCTGGGTGGCGCGATCGATGGTCTTTTTTCCTTCTCTTTTCCACCTTTTTTATTCAATTTTTCTTTCACTGATTACACCCCACCTCTTTCTCGAAATATATTTGCAAAAAAAACACTTTTCGACGCTTTATTGCTCTTATAAACTTTTTAGAGATGAGCTTTTTCGAAATTTGACTAACTTATGCTTTTTCCAGATCAATGATATGCAAATGGGGAGCGTGTCGAAAAGCGGTCAAAACAAAAGAGGTTTAGTGTAGATAGAGTTAAAACAGTTCATGAAAATTTAGAGGCTAATAGCGCATGTTAAAACAGTTCATTTCGACCCGTTGGCTCAATTTAAGCCTCGCCCGGATAGTTACAATTGTGAGTGGAGGAGTTGTCGTGGGTAAGTGCTCAAGAATTAGGTTACCAAATAAGTTTTCTTTTTCAAAATTCTCTTTTTCAAAATTCCGTTTAAAAATCATAAATCCTAGAATTAACCTATAGTTTACTGCAAATAAAAAGTGTTTATTGTTTAATTTTCCATGTTATTACGTCAATACTTGAAGATTTGAACTTTCAAAAAAGTAGGAAAAGGAACGAAAAACTTGTTCATCAATCTGATAACTCTAAAACTTTCAAGTGAACTTTAGAAAGCGGTCCTTCCAAGTTCCCTACCGGTTGAATGCTCACGTAAGGCAGCATACCGGAGAGAAACCACACACATGTCCAAAACCTGGATGTTCAAGGGCATTTTTTCGCGCCGAGGGGCTCAAATGGCACTTAAATTTTCACGCCGGCAAAAAGCCATATAGGTGTAAAGATTGTAATCAGGTATACGATACAAGTCAATATGTGCCAATCCTTTTTCTTGATTTGGAAACCCGATTTGTTTCCAGGAGTTCAGGAGTACTAATGATCGAGCTAAACACATGAAAGGAGTACATAGAAAGGAGGTGACAAATAAAAAATAATTTAACAAAATCCCACAATTTAGAAGCGCCAGTGCGGATATCAAGGATGCAAGAAGGCTTATTCCGCCATGTCAAGTCTTCGGAAACACGTAGAAAAGGTGCATGGTACAGAGGTGTGGGAAATATTCAAGAAGAAGGATTGTGGCTCAAAAGATCGAGAAAGCAGCCACGGCCCTGACTCTGGAGGACATTTACCGGTAGTTGTTAACAAACGTTGGTTTATTCTTATACTATTGTAGGAAAATCCGGGCTTGACGGAGACGGTTGAAATGTACGATCCAAGCTATGAGCTTAATCGAGAAGGGGAGTCGAATGTGGCAAATGCAAATGAGGGGCCGATCAACGGGCCTGAGCTCAGCGGATATCTCACTGCCGATGTCGAAAAGGAAGGAAGTTTGTTGCAAGATGATTTCGGATATCGAAACGCTTGATTTCAGAGTTAGACGTGATTGAGATGGGACTCTGAGAAGTGAGACGTAATAACAATCATACGGTACTCTTTGGATTACGTTACTCTTTGGGTACCCTCTCTTTAGGTTACGGTACTCTCTAGGTACCCTCTCTTTAGGTTACGGTACTCTTATATATTATAATTCACTGCTAAGTTAGCCTTGATTTTCACCGAACTTTTGCTACAAATTCTATTAGGTTGGGGAAAATGAGTCGGCGTACAGTCGCCCATTGTAGCATAAACCAGTGTCGAGAAAAACTCGTTCAAAGCTAGACTACGCAACACTCCGCACCATCATTATGGGAGTGGGGTACTATTACAATATTTACGGTACCTTGAAACAAATAAAAATTTCAGTTTGATTATTTAGGAACTTATTTAGGTCCATCAATTCGTCAATGGGATGAGTGAAGAGGCAAAGATACAACTTCAAAAAGTAAACGGATTCTTTCTAAAAGAGCTAAATTCTCCTTAACAACTGGTTTAAACTGGTCGGTTTTCGATCACAGTTTTCGTTAAGAAATTACAATTTTTGAAGAGACCATCATTTGGTATGCCAAAATAAGGAATTTTTACATATTTCTAACTACATTTCGATCTTATTATTAGTATTGTAGTATTGTAAGTATTGTAGTAGTAGCATTGTTATTTTAGTAGTCTTGCAACTCGTTATTTTAGAATTTTGACCTGTTTCCGTATTTTTAAGCACAAGTACTTGTACTTTGAAAGTAGACTTCAAGTGCACAAATTCGATACAATCAATTTCCCTTTCAGGTATCGGCTCTCCTCACCCAACCAAATCTCTCCGATGAGACTCTTCTCGAGAAAATCGCTCAATTCTATGTCAAAATCCCGATCGAGATTCGAAAAGAATTTGAAAAAAATTGGCACAATTTGGTCGAAGATAAAAGATAAAATTGATTTATATTTGATTTTTAGATTTTTATTTATTTTCATTACAATCCAATTCTAAACAGATAACAATTTTTGTGAGTTTTTTCCAAAACTTTTATCGAAACCGGCAGTGACCCGTAGTTTTCCGAGATGAAATCAAATGATGACTAGTAGCGATTTTCTTGTAGCAACTAAAATTTAAATGAAAATTTGGAAAGTTATGATAGATTTTCAGATTTTCAGATAAAGTTGCTGAAAGTGTTTTCCGCTTTTGGTTCGCTCATCCTTGAGCTTTGTTTCCTGAAACGCGTTGCAGTTACGGATCAAGCCTCTTCATGTTGATCCTAAAAATTAAAATTAAAATTAAAATTAACTTCATAGGAGTACTGTAACTTCTGATGGGTACGGTAGCTTCTGAAGTCGACGGCAACCTTGGGATAGTATACGGCAACCTTGGGCAAGGGCAACCTTCCCCTCGTTAAACGCCCGCCATTAGTATTAGTTGACATATTAGTTGTCATGTTTTCTACTGTCAACTATGGTAACTAATATGACAACCTTGTTCTTGTTTCTCTAGTTTTTATCCTCAATCTTCTTTCTCTAGTTCATTTTCCACTTCTAAATCCCGCCAAGAGTCTGTGATTTGCGGGCTTTTCTTTTCCCTGATGTGCAGGGGCGTCGCGTGCTTTTCTCTCAATCGATCTTGCCTTTTTCCGACCAGAAAATTTCCGCATTTTCGTATCATCATTTTGAAATCTTTCTGGCTTCTAACTTAGATTGAGGAATAGAAGCAAAACAGTTTAAAGAAAATGCATTTATGATTTTGCTCCAGTTTGATCAGTATGGTAAATTATGCCAGATTAACTGCATTCTACATTTTGCACACTTTGGGATTGCTCATAACGAATTGGTGCCGCTTTTTCAACCGTTTCTCCTTTTTGGCACTTTCCTCCCAGATTGCTTCTAAATAAAATCAGCTCAAAACACAAGTAAACCTAACCGCTAGTTTTTATCAGCTCCCTTTTTTGACTTGCATTCTGCTTTGAATCGAGCAAAAATTGAACAACTATTCTTCAAGACCCGCTTTCACGTTCGCATAGCTTCAACCCCTTTCCAACGTTTCACTTTCCTCTCTAGTTCTGTTCTCAATATTCTTTCTCTAGTTCTTGTTTTATAACCAACGCGAAAAGAAAACGGGCGTAACAGCTGCAAAAGTTTTGGACCTGAAATTATTAAAAGTGGCGAAATGTTTCCAAGAAAAGTTTAAGCTTTCTCTGAAACATATATGATCGACAGAATTCTGTATTTTTTGCATTTAGTGCATTTTAGACTGTAGAAAGTGCCAATTTGTGACTTTTCTTGGATTTCTAATGTTTTCAAAATTTCTTGATAACATCTGCCTAAATCGGTGTACAATCTCAAGCCCAACTGACTTTTATAAATATGCTTTTGAAAAAATAAAAAAATAAAAATTAAACCCTAATCTTTAAGGACATTTACCCTCATCTTTATAAACATTTAAGTTCTAGCGGCGTTCTTCCCGTACTCTATGAAAAGCTACAGTACTTACAACGAGTTACAGTAAACATAAGACGTTACATTATTCTAATAAGGTTGCGGTATACTTGAGAAGATTTCTTTGTGAAAAAGACTACCGTGCCAAATGAGTACCCAAATGTTTGAACTATTTATGAATACTAGTAGAAGCTAGAGATTGAGAGTTTAGACTTTAAATTAACTAACTAAGTGTAGGCTATTGAATGATTGTTTTCCAGCCACAGTATCCAGCTAGTAGAAACCTAATAGCATAATTTCCAATTCAAGTAATTCGATCAAGGTAGGTACAGTACTTTAGTACTTCTGTAATACTTGACAAACTCGTTACCGTAAAGACTCTTTACTACCCACTAAGTGTTGCTAATGTAGATAAATTAGATAAAAATCGAGACAGGAATCCGATAATAGATAACAATGTAGGTAAGTACTAGAAATGTTTGAACCTAATCAAACCCTAATCAAATTGAAAAAAAGTTTTGAGAAAAAGGATTGGTTTCCGATTAAACGAACCTCTTGTACTTTTCCAATGCCCTCATTTTCGTCGTCAAAAAACGAAAACGAAGCATTTTCTGAAGGAGGCCAATTTCCTTTAGATAAAAAAGTTTGTATTGGAGGTGACAATGAATTGCAGGGTCGGTTTAGGACAAAAATAATCTTTTACTAAAGATTAGAAAAGATAAGCTAAAGACTTTGCATTCAATCAAATAAAAAACTTTCGTTCAATTGAATCAATCGGCTTGTGTTGAACGAAAGTTTGATGGAGCCCGGCATTTTGATGGAGCGTGATGGAGTCGGCAATCAGCAAGGAAACAAGCAATTTATATGAGAAATACATTCAGCTAAGAAGAGCCAGACTCAATGAATAAATGCAAGTAGTCGATTTTATCCAAACATGCTATTTGATGGATAGAGATAAAGGAAACAGAAAACACAGGATAAGGGAGAAGACAGGCAAAAGAGAAAGAATTGCAGAATTTTCTCTATCAGCACCCAAAGTTGAGCCGAAACAAAAGTGAAGATGACCAGGCGGACTCTTAGAAAGTTTTTGTTATTTTTCATGTTTTCTTTCATCTGTTAAGCATCTTTTTCTTCATACATAAAACATAAAATGGGAATTGGACTTGGACACTCTATCGGCAATTATCTTATGCAGTATGCAGTACCTTAACTACATACTACAATAAGACGTACTACTACAATAAGACATACTGTATTGTGGCATTTGACAGTACTTTGTCACGCTTTGAAAATGGACTACCGCAAAACTGAAGGCATTGGAAAAGTGCAAGAGTTCGTTTAATCGGAAAACAATCCTTTTCTCAAAACACTCAAAACACGTTCCACTTTTCTCTTTTTACCGTAATCTTGTCTCTATTTTTATCGAATATATTCACATTTTTTCTGATTTACAAAATGATATCGAAAGATTGAATAAACAAATAAAGTAGAAAGAGAAATGGAGCTTAGAAAACAAATTAGAAAAGATATCAACCAGCTATTTTTTTTGATTCCAGAAATGGAAACCACAAGATATGGAATATCTTGTGGTTTCCATTTCTATTCGATAAAGTTGAGAAAATAAAGGAAAAAGAGGCAAAAGCAAAAAAATATTTGTTAATGGCTGAAGTCTAGATGTTAAGGACACAACTAGATTGCTAAGTGTTATACTCATTTGAGACTTTTAATCGCTCGAAAGCACGCGTTTAAATTTTACCGTAAATACTTTAATATTGGGTTGGGGAGAATGAGTCGGCGCCGAAATTTACTTTTTTTGCGAAAAACTTTTTGCACCTATAAAACCTTTTTTGTTGCATCAAAATGGTTCACTATTTCTTTAAAAAAATGGCTTTAAAAAAACGTTGCCCAAATTACCCGAAATCTCGAGAACCGCTTATCAGAAGCTGTTCCTTTACATTCCTTTACAAAAAGTAGTCGAGAGGCTAGCGAAAGGAAAATTCAAATCTTTGAGGCACCACTATTTTTCGTTTTCTTGCATGGTAAATTTTGATAGCTAAACCTTGAATTTCTTTCTTATAGATGTAATTTTTACCGCTTGTTGAGCTTACTTAGATTTTTATCGAATATATTCACATTTTTTCTGATTTACAAAATGATATCGAAAGATTGAATAAACAAATAAAGTAGAAAGAGAAATGGAGCTTGGAAAACAAATTAGAAAAGATATCAACCAGCTATTGCTAAAAAAATTACAGATTGTTGAAGAAAAGCAAGAGAACTGCAGAATTTAATCGCTGAGAATACAGCGACCGACGAGCTCGACAATTGGATGCGGAAAAGAAAGTGAGTGTTTGAGTATTGGATGTACTTTGTGCTCTAAAGTGTAAAAACACTCCTTGTAAAAAATCAAAACAAATAGAACAAAAGAACAATAGAAAAATATTCTGCCACCATGGTTTTTTAGATATTGTAGTCAGAAGCTTGGAAGATCGAATTGAATAAAAACGATAGAATTTTCCTCCCAAAAACATGTCATTCATCTTCGTAAAATCGTTGAGTAGGGTTGGTATCCTAGAATTGAAAGTGAACCAATAGACATTTTTCGTTTAAACACCAAACTATCTTGTAATGTTCACCTGAATTCCTAACAATCTTGCCATTTTATTACAAGTTTTCACAACTAGCATTGGAGCATTGTTCTGTCCTCGAGTTGAAGCTAAGACCATAAAAATCTGGAAAGCAATAAATTCGAGATGCTGTATTCTCTCTCACTACTATTTTTTTCAACCCCTCCTGAACGACATTAGACTATTGGAGAGTGCACTACTATAAAAGAGTTCTATCATTTGCCAAAGCAAGACACACATCAGATGGTTTTAAAATTCTTGCAAATCTTTCACGTACTTGCCCTTGAGTTTGATCTCCACCGTGTCTGATTTTAAAAGAGCTATTGCGTTGCATTTTAAGTGACTGTGTGATCTTTATCTACGCATCTACATGTCGTTTTTGGCACTTTATTTCTTCCTGAATAAAGTATTTATATGTACACTGGCTCCTTTGTACAGTTGATACAGTTGTGGGCCTTAAAAAGGAGTTGAATAAAAAGATGTTTCCGCACTCGCAACAATTTTAGATTTTCGAAGAATAGTTAATCAATAAATAAAAAGCCTCACTTTTGCTTGCTTGAATAGCTTAAAAATGTCACATCAACAAAAAGATGACAAAGAAACACCAAAAATTCAAATCTTTGAGGCACCACTATTTTTCAACCCCCGGACCGCAATACTATTAGAGAGAATACGGTTTATAATAAGACTTAATTTAAAAAGACTGTTCACCCATCATGTAGCGAAAATGCAAGGAGATCTTGCTTTTCGCAACGTTTTCTTGCATGGTAAATTTTGATAGCTAAATCTTGAATTTCTTTCTTATAGATGTAATTTTTAACCAACCATGTGCTTTTTGAGGTGAGCCTCGATTTCCTTGCGAGACACTGGCTTTTGACAGCCCTAAATTGATTGCCGATTCTAACCACGACCGCTTGTTGAGCTTACTTAGCGTTAGATTGCAGAAAACCTCAAAACACCTACCCCGCACGTTAGAGTCGAAGCATTCGAACTCGATTCAATGTGTTTGCTTTTCCAATGTTGAAGCAAAGCTTTGTTCTGAAACTTTATCTCTTGTTCCCAATTCGCAAATAGACAATAATGACCTGGTTGGGCCCTTTCATTTCTTCTCCACAAATTTGACATCTCAGTATGCGAATAATTCCATGAATGAACTCATGGGTATATTTTGGAATTCCCGTCTCCTCTTTGGTCCAACGATTCATCGTTAAGCACAAGCTGCAACAAAGGTCGTCTCCACTTCTGAAGTATGCAAATCATGCAAGATAAATTTGACTTTGAGTTTGACTATTCAATTTTGAAAAGCTTTACCTCTCATGTTCGATACCGTGCGTTTCATTGACATCATTTGCCGCAAATTTCATACCACATCTGAAAGTTTTGTTTTAGGTCATTTTCTGACGTTAATTTTTGAAGTTAGTCATTAACAGATTAGAAACGCACATCGCCGAGTGTGGAAGTTGATGGGCGTGCGCTGCGAAGAGATGCATCTTCAGCTTTACTGACGACTTCAAATTTCTCTCCGGACACCCCGGAAACGGACAACGAAGCTCAAAGTGCGCTATATGCCTAAATTTAAATATTCTGATTCTTAAACTTATTTCGCCACTCACTTTGTATGCCCAAGCATATGTCGGACAAGATCTTGTTCTTCGTTCCCGGAAACCGGCTTATTACATTCCAAACAAAAGTATTTATTTTTTGTTTGACCGATCATTTCTTGGAACATTTGTTCAGCATCCGTTTTTACTGGTTCTTTTTGTGCAATATCTTCAAAAATCTTTGAAATCACATTTTTTTCACAATTCCTGAGTGTAGAGTGGTCTAAAGTTGATTTTTAGGAAGTCGAACACTTTTGACACCTACCTGCACTCGTTGTAATCGATTGCCTTGTACTCTAGAGCGTTTCACAGTTGGGACTTGTTGGTCTTGAGGTGTACTCAAGATTTGGTACGGCGAAAACTAAATTTGTTTAATTTAGGTATCCTTCGTTATCAGTTTCATTTCATAATTGGTCTGTTCACTTACCCGTAAACTCTCTTCGACACTGTGGACGTTTGAGCCGGAGAGCCTAAAAGTTTTTAGCTTTTCCAAGAATAACATTTCTGCATTGAGCGATATGCAGTGTGTCGTTAATTTTTTTATTCTTTTGCTATTCGAGCCATCCACCTGAAAAGTGGGGGCCGAAAAGGAAGTCCGATGGTTGATGCACCGTATGCCGCTTTCAACCGAACATAGAACGGCAGATCTAAATATTTGGCTCTTTCCTATTACCTCTGAAGAGTGCCTTAAAAATGCCCAAATTTTATCTTTGCTATTACAATAACGGTATATTCATAGTTAATGCAGTCAAAGATCTCACTTTGTGGATTCGGCATCTCCATGGTTCTATTCAAGATTAACCAGGGGCTTTGAAGGATAGTTCTCTCTCTTGCCATCAACTCTTCGACTTTCTCGGCCTGATCCTCGAATGTGCCCGTGTAAGCTGGTTGAAGGTACTAAAAATCATTCTCTAAAATTAAAAAAGGAAAAATTTAGTAAAAAGCCAGTGTTACTTTATTGAATTACCCAAGTATTGCAATTTTTATTCGAACATAAAACAGATGGATATTTGTCGGCGACCAGCGTTTTGTGATTACATTGGGAGGGAACGGCGGTCGAAGGTGGATTTGGGGAAGCAAGACGCTAAAAGTCGATTAAATGAATATCAGGCTGAGCATTTAATATTCAAAACGAATAAAGCTGAAAGCTAAATATTTCTGGTATTTCTGATTTACCTGTATCCATGCCTTTTCATCAGCCGGTTGAAAGTTGACAGTGTTTACCGAAATGACCCCCAACGCTTGTTCTCCTTCGAGATTTGTCGACGCTGGGAAGGTTTCATTTGGTCTTTTCTGAATCCTTTTTAGTCTTTATATAATCTTCAAACAACTTACCACGGTTTTGCAAGTTTTGAAATGACGTACGATCGTAGCCCCATTCATGGAGGCCAAGAAACATTTTTTACAGAAGAACAAGAGTTTGGCATCGTGCTTCCAATTGGCGTGAAACATCAACTCGATGTTCTGAAATGAGCAAGTGCATGTCCGGCAGTTATCCCAATCCCAAACTCACTTTTCCAAACACAACATTATGTTCGACACACATGTTGGGAACTCCAGATGCTTTTGCATATCTCTGATGTAACTCCCAATGTGCTTCCGAGCCTTTCTTATTGAATCCCACACAAGGACACAATGGACACACAATGGGAGGACTGAAAAGCTGTTTGACTATAAATATTTCAAAAAGATGCAACCAGTTTTCATGTGTTTCACTCATGTGTTTTTGGAAAAACTTCGGGTCCTCGTAGATAATCGAACACATGACACAAATGTAAAAGTTTCTACTTTCATCGTATGGCAGGCCGTAGGTCTGGAAATTATGGTAATCCTTGTAAGATGCAACTCTTTTTAAATATTTTAAATATTAGCAATTCCAACTCTTATTTAAGTATTTTTAAATATTAGCAACAATACAAACCCCTTTCACCGACGTTTGACTTCCTTTATCAGCTCGATGGTCTTCTCTCAGATGTTCGTCGCAGCTTCCTCTTGTGAAAAATTTCTTTGAGCATTTTGGACATTGAATTTTTCTTTTTCTTCCTCCTTGAGAACTTGATCTAAAATCAACTTCTCATCGTTTCTCATATTTCGGAACATGCCGTGGCACGATATCTTCAATGATGCACCCATCATCCTCTTCTTGGACAAAGTTTGCTCTCTCCTCGGGTTTATTCCTTTTGGTTGAATCCTGTGTAAATAAACAAGTTTGCTTTAAAGATCTTGACATAAAATTAAAGTTAATAGCAGAAACAATTCACTTACCACAAACATGATATCATCTTCTCCATCTTCTTCACGAGTTGATGCCATTAACTGTGATGCAGAGTCATCGCGAGCTAAAGCAACGTCATTTACTTGATATAAACCAAAAGCTTCGGAAGTAATTAGATAATCAAATCATGGTTCTACTCACATGTCGTTGGTCGATCCCAAATTGTAACCGTAGAAGAATTCTCAGCACGAGCGGCTGCCGGTAGTGTTTTGGCGGGTAGGAAGACTGAATCACTCAGACATTGCACGGATGGCGGTGGTTCGAGGTTTATTGGCAAAGGTTTATTGACAGTATCTGAAATTAGTTATATAGTCTCGTATCGTAAAGCAATTTGTGATTTTTGATGTTTAGCTAAAATTCGTAGAAATGAACACCAAAAACGACGTTGATTCTCGGATTATACCAAGGCGGAAAAAATAGCCCGGAAATTGTGAAAATCACGAAATAAAAGCGCCAAGAAAGCACTTAAACGTTACAAAGACTTAAAGAACAACAAGGATCGTCCTCGAAGTGGTCGACCACCAAATGCCGTAACGCCTACGAACATGAGCGAAATTCGCTTTCGAATTTGCCAAACCAAGCTGTAGTCGATGCAAAAGATGGGCAAACAGCTGAAAATTAGCCCTCGAAGCGTGGGAATGATTGTTAAAGGAAAACATAAATTCTTCAGCTACAAATTGGCCAAAGCACACGTGAGCGTCCAATGAAAAAGATGTACTAATTTTGCTGAAGACGTCTAGATTCTTGAGAGATTATAACAAAACAAAATAAACCCACTTAACAGCATTTACCAATAAGATTCTTGTCTACACTTGTAAGTCTGGCTGAATACGTCCAGGTTTTTAGAGAATAGCAACAGGGAAAATTACCGAGAATATCCATCTTTTTGAAAACTGATAAATATGCTAAAGAATATATGTATGGAATGGCTGAATTCAGTCCAAATCCACCCTTTTCTGGTAAAACTACGTGACTCGGTGAAAAGAGAGATAACGCAAGGCCGATTTTTTGACAAATGATTTAATAAGGTGGTGGGTTCTTAAAAGACACAAAATTTCTCTAAATTTCACAGATCATTTTCTAGGTTTCTTTATCACCAAAACACTTCACTCAAAAGTCTTGCTTCATCAATATCCTTTCCTTTAAAGATGTATTCAAATTACCCACTTCCTTCAGCAATCCTTGAACCATCACTCGCCACGATGCTCGTCGTAGCTCGGCCAAAACCTAAATCTAAAGTAATTTGGCTTCTACCAATAAAATTCTACTTTATTATGAGGTAGAAACTAGAAATTATTTTCTGAAAGTAAGCTCGCAGAGATCTTACTTGGAGCCATTGTGTAGATGTTTCGATATCCGAAATCATCTTGCAACAAACTTCCTTCCTTTTCGACATCGGCAGTGAGATATCCGCTGAGCTCAGGCCCGTTGATCGGCCCCTCATTTGCATTTGCCACATTCGACTCCCCTTCTCGATTAAGCTCATAGCTTGGATCGTACATTTCAACCGTCTCCGTCAAGCCCGGATTTTCCTACAATAGTATAAGAATAAACCAACGTTTGTTAACAACTACCGGTAAATGTCCTCCAGAGTCAGGGCCGTGGCTGCTTTCTCGATCTTTTGAGCCACAATCCTTCTTCTTGAATATTTCCCACACCTCTGTACCATGCACCTTTTCTACGTGTTTCCGAAGACTTGACGTGGCGGAATAAGCCTTCTTGCATCCTTGATATCCGCACTGGCGCTTCTAAATTGTGGGATTTTGTTAAATTATTTTTTATTTGTCACCTCCTTTCTATGTACTCCTTTCATGTGTTTAGCTCGATCATTAGTACTCCTGAACTCCTGAAACAAATCGGGTTTCCAAATCAAGAAAAAGGATTGGCACATATTGACTTGTATCGTATACCTGATTACAATCTTTACACCTATATGGCTTTTTGCCGGCGTGAAAATTTAAGTGCCATTTGAGCCCCTCGGCGCGAAAAAATGCCCTTGAACATCCAGGTTTTGGACATGTGTGTGGTTTCTCTCCGGTATGCTGCCTTACGTGAGCATTCAACCGGTAGGGAACTTGGAAGGACCGCTTTCTAAAGTTCACTTGAAAGTTTTAGAGTTATCAGATTGATGAACAAGTTTTTTCGTTCCTTTTCCTACTTTTTTGAAAGTTCAAATCTTCAAGTATTGACGTAATAACATGGAAAATTAAACAATAAACACTTTTTATTTGCAGTAAACTATAGGTTAATTCTAGGATTTATGATTTTTAAACGGAATTTTGAAAAAGAGAATTTTGAAAAAGAAAACTTATTTGGTAACCTAATTCTTGAGCACTTACCCACGACAACTCCTCCACTCACAATTGTAACTATCCGGGCGAGGCTTAAATTGAGCCAACGGGTCGAAATGAACTGTTTTAACATGCGCTATTAGCCTCTAAATTTTCATGAACTGTTTTTAACTCTATCTACACTAAACCTCTTTTGTTTTGACCGCTTTTCGACACGCTCCCCATTTGCATATCATTGATCTGGAAAAAGCATAAGTTAGTCAAATTTCGAAAAAGCTTATCTCTAAAAAGTTTATAAGAGCAATAAAACGTCGAAAAGTGTATTTTTTGCAAATATATAGGAGAGAAATTCTCGAGAAAAAGAGGTGGGGTGTAATCAGTGAAAGAAAAATTGAATAAAAAAGGTGGAAAAGAGAAGGAAAAAAGACCATCGATCGCGCCACCCAGAAGTGCTAAAAGCTAGAGAAAAGCTATTATTAGTTATTAGTTAACATAGTTAGTTATGTACCCATCAGAAGTTACAGTACTCCTATGAAGTTATTGTACTTATAACAATTTGTCTACGTCCAAAAAGCTACCATGCTATTGGATACAAAATGATAAACCCCGAACTCACTACACAACAAGCACAATGTTGTCCCATTCCTTTCTCTCTTTTCTCTTCCCTCCCTTCTCTCCGCGATCCATTAATCCATTCGATTTTTTTCTTTATTTCACATCACTATAGACATAATTTTTATAAAAAGTTTTAATATAAAACTTCTAATTAAGAAGGAGGAAGGAGATTAACTGCATTCTACATTTTGCACAGTTTAGTCAAATTTCGAAAAAGCTCATCTCTAAAAGTTTATAAGAGCAATAAAGCGTCGAAAAGTGTTTTTTTGCAAATATATAGGAGAGAAATTCTCGAGAAAAAGAGGTGGGGTGTAATCAGTGAAAGAAAAATTGAATAAAAAAGGTGGAAAAGAGAAGGAAAAAAGACCATCGATCGCGCCACCCAGAAGTGCTAAAAGCTAGAGAAAAGCTAGAGAGTAGAACGAATGAAGAGAGTCAATGGTCTGCCTTTTTTCTCTAACCTCTTTCGAAATGCCACATCTCTCGAACTCGAACTCGAAAACACCAATAGGCATGCAGAGAAAGACTAAAAGCAAAAAAGAGGCCTAGCCTCTCCTCATAAACTACGATTTTTTAGAAAAATTGCTGTTGGCCCCGACCGCGCTTTTTTGACCGCCGGCCGACGAGGTTGCCCTTGCCTCATAATTTTTTGAGGTGGCTCTTTCAGGGTTCATTTCTGCAACAAAGAATCAAAAGCTTGGCGTTTCGATTTGCTATTTGCGGCCCGACTATTAGGGAAATGTAATACTTGACTCAATTTTGCCAGAAATCTTTCCACTAACACCTGAAATGGTCGCGAGAGTTTGAGCGTTGTAAAAGCAAACAGTCAATTTTAAAAATTACGGTTACTTCACTGTTGCAAATAATTCAGGAAGATACCTGAGTCTAACAATATATTAAGGTGTAAAAGAAAATGGCTTTTGAAAAGCTTTTTTTGGTTTTTTCAAAGTATGCATTGGAAGTGAACCTTATGTGGACCTCTTATAAAGTTATCCAAGTCGAGCTTCGATTCGAGTACTCTGTGCCTTGTATTTCAAACATAAAAGTTTTATTTTTTTGCGATAGTTTCGATTCTTGCCTTGACACCAATTCCTGGTTTTAAGATGTCAAACTTGACATTGCCTGACTTGTCAATGGTTTACATTGATACCGATGCCAAGACTTTCAAACCCTTGAAAGGAAACATCATTTCATCTCCAAACAACCTTTTTCAACGCCATTCACAGCAGATCACTCCAAACACAATCCCATTTTATTACCTTCAAAACATTGACCCGCTCAAATGGCCTTATCTACATTCTTCTTCGAGTTTTTGGGTAGGATCTAAAAAATCTACAATTCTAGAAAATCTAGAAAATCTTTAGTAGTACGAGTACTCTTAATAGTTTACGATCGAAATTTATTTGTTAACGAGGATTTACTACATAAGAATTTACCACATACATACTGTATACAAATGAACTGTACCTAATACACTTTCGAGACGGTGAACTCATAAACTCATAACCATAAACTAGTGTCTTTTGCTAAAGTTATTCAAACTCAGTCTCATTTCGACCTATCACACACTAAGTTTCTCGAACTCGAAAGAGATTAAATTTGACTTGACGTTCACGTAAATTGTCAATCGTTTCAAAAGAAGCCGGTCTCAAAGTGCCAAAACTTCCACACTTTTCGAACGAATTAAATAATCCAATAATTTAATGGAAATTGTCGAAGCACAGCTTGTTTTAAACTATAATATCTGTCAAATCAGAACGCCAAGACTTTCTTCATTTTTTGTGCAAATGAACCCTGGTGCCATGCAAAAACTTCATTGAAGAAATTGATAAGGCTTTCTTTCAATTCATACTTGAAAAAAACAGTGCAAAACGACCACCCGGAAGACTATGCAAAGGGTCACCGAAGACATTGTAGTTTCTAGTTTAGTGACTTCCACTGCATTTTGAAGGAAACTTGAGCATTAATGGTTGAAAAATTTTGTGATCTAAGGGTTTCTTTTTTCTCCAATTATCTAAGAGGGCCAACTTCTTATAGAATGCAACAAATTGCGCCACTAAGATGTGTTGCTAATAAGCAGGACGCTTTTTAGCTTCATAGAAGCAATTTCTTCCTAGAATAACTACAAACTGTCTTTTTTTACTTTATCACGTGTGCCCATTTCTTTCGAGGAAACAATATTTACAAGCAAAACACATTTTTTGATGAATACAATAACATTTGGTGTTAAGCGGTAACATTTGATGGATTTGGTCATTCAGCAAAGCCAAGGCTTTCCAAATCTTTCAAGATCCAAGATATTTTTACTTTTGAACCATAAACCTGCGAGTTTGTTTCAAGATTTAGTTTGTTATTTTTTATTCGCATTAAAACTCGATTTTAGGTAATGACGGACGGACTAAAAAGGTTTCATATAATAATAATCAAGCTTTAATCCAATACATGAAGCTTTAATCCAATACATCAAGCTTTAATCCAAAAACTAAGACTGAAACTCACAGGACTGCAAAGAACATAGAAACATGATAAATAGAGCACTGATTAAATAAACATATCCGACAAATCAGTCTAAGGCAACCTCAAAATTCGCACAGGATAAGCATAAATTGATTCGGTGGAGAATTCCAAGGTTGGATCCAGGCCCTATTTTCCACTTAAAAGGAGAATTACGTAACAGAGATGTCTCTAAGTGATTGCATTTTAAAGCATTCTATCAATGACCAAGCGGCCGTAATGAAAAGATTTTGAGCCAAAAAGCCTTAACCTTTAGGGTAGGTTCTTTTGAGTATAGTGAATAATTGATTTTGAATAAGGCCAACTTAGTATATCTCCTTTGGACACTTTCAAATTTGTTTTCTTTTTTAGAGAGTGAGCAAATCACTGAGGCCTATCCTAGAATAGGTCTTTTCGTAAAACATTTGCGGTAGACTTGAAGGTTGGAGACGCCTATAGTTTTAAGAGTTCGATTCGCACAGAACGAAGCTTAACGATAAATGATCTGAAGGTGGTTCTTGAAACATAGAGTTGAGACTATAATAGCGAATTGAATTACCCGCATCAAGCTTGGGCATAGAGGTATGGTTAATTTTACTGGAAAAGGATTTTCTACCACAGGAGTGGTAGGATTTAGACTCGGTTAGCTTAAGCTTCCAATCCTCGGACCATTATGCAAATTTGGAGGGATTTTTTCTTCGGCTGTTTAGGGATGGGTGGGGCGAGAAATAGGAATGATAGGATACAACTTCTTTTGAGGATGCAATCTAGCAAAACACACTTTTTTGAATTGATACAATAACTTTTGGTGCTATTCATTTACTATTTAAGAGGTAATATGCTCTCTGTCATTCAGCATTCAGCAAAGTTCAATTCATACTTGAAAAAAACAGTGCAAAACCCGGAAGACCAAAGATAAGCGCTTCTGGGTGGGCTGTTCCAAGGTGAGACTATGCAAAGGGTCACCGAAGACATTGTAGTTTCTAGTTTAGTGACTTCCCTTAAATGGTGCATTTCACATGACATCGGGAGCTTGTATGTACTTGGTGCATCCTCCGGGCAGAAAAAATTTCAAAGTTTTTCCGTTTTTTCGCTTTTATGGAAAAAGTTGTTCCAGACGGAAAAGTGGTCCCAAACGATTAATCGTTTTCGGCATAATGGAGCCCAAGAACCCTTCGAAGTCAGGACTCAATTGAAGTATCTTTTCTCCCTGTAGATCCAATTCAGTGTATCTTTAGCTCGTTGCAAAATTTTTGAGGCCCTGAATTTCCCAGAAGTTTTTGAAGTTAACAAGGAAAATCGATCGGTTGTAACAAAAAGAGGGCCATGTATCTAAGAGGGCCAACTTCTTATAGAATGCAACAAATTGCGCCACTAAGATGTGTTGCTAATAAGCAGGACGCTTTTTAGCTTCATAGAAGCAATTTCTTCCTAGAATAACTACAAACTGTCTTTTTTTACTTTATCACGTGTGCCCATTTCTTTCGAGGAAACAATATTTACAAGCAAAACACATTTTTTGATGAATACAATAACATTTGGTGTTAAGCGGTAACATTTGATGGATTTGGTCATTCAGCAAAGCCAAGGCTTTCCAAATCTTTCAAGATCCAAGATATTTTTACTTTTGAACCATAAACCTGCGAGTTTGTTTCAAGAT